GTGGCTCCAGTCGATCGACAGTAGCTCCAGGTGAGGCCAGTTGATTGGCTGGGGCAGTCTGTGGCTCCAGTCGATCGACTGGAGAGATGGACCACCTAAGGCTAGGTGGTCTGTCTATTAAAGTTTGACCATAAGCTGGCGGTGGCCAGATCCAAAGCTGAAGATTTCTTCAGTTGATCGACTGGAAAGATAGACCACCTAAGGCTAGGTGGTCTCTCTATTAAAGTTTGACCATAAGCAGGCAGTGGCCAGGGCGGGAGCTACAGATTTTTTCAGTCGATCGACTGGAGAGATGGACCACCTAAGGCTAGGTAGTCTACCTTTTAAAGTTTGACCATAAGTGTGCGGTGGCCAGGGCCTGTGACCACCCACTCTGCCAGTCTGCAGCTGCAGTCAATCAACTGACGTAATACATCACCCAGCAGGCTAGTGGGTCCATTCCATGATAATATGCTATCAGTAAACTTGTCTTGTGTGGATGTGCAAAGGAGTTATGGTACAGAATCACTTTGGTGTTTAGTTGTTTTGCGTGTATGTGAATTTTGTAGTGTTGAAACTTGATTTTTGAAATTTTTGTGTATCATTTGTGCCAAAGTGCCAACTCAGCGGTCAAATTCAGGGTTGTGGTTTGGAAACCGGTAAGAACTGGCAGAAAGTATGGTTTCATCCCAAATACAGGCGGTTTCAGACCAATATTTGGGTTGAATCTGATGTTTAATCCAGTTTTGTCAATTTCTGACCCGGGGATTCTGAAATTTCACTTTTTGAAATTTGATTTGTCACTTTGACACACCTCGCATTCCGTATAGGGATAAATGAAGAATCAAATCAAACATGCGATCAGGCAAAGAGATTGGTTTGTAAACACAAACACAGTTTCTTACTGTGTTTTTCAAAAACACAGTTGTTTGAAAACAAGGTTTTTGGACAGCTGTTCTTACTAAGGCTTGGACCCGGCCCGCCCGGCCCGAATACACAAAAAATTTGCCGGTGTTGCACAGTGCCGAGGAGATTGACGATTTCGGGCAAATATATTTGCCATTGTGGCCATTGAGAGCATCCACAGTGGTGGGCTCCAAATCGAGCGAATTCAAATTTGGTGGGGCCCCAAATCAATCCGGATGCAGTCGTTCGGACTTCAAAAGTGTAGATTCTATGTGTTTACACACACTTTGAGATTGGTACGCGTGGGCTTACATGTGCGAGGTATGGGATTGAACAAGTGCGGGAATTTGGAGCCCGGCTTTTTGTTGCCAAATATGTAGCCCAAAGCTTGAAATTTGAAGCCGGCTACAAAAAAATTTGGCGATGGGGACTGCCATTGCCCCAAAAAATCAGGGCTCAGTCACCAAATTTGGCGATAGCCCCGATTTGGAGCCCACCACTGTGGATGCTCTAAACACCCTTTCTAGTGCTTTTTGGGTCACTTTGCCAGCTTTCTCAGCATCTTAGATTATGTTTCAGTGCTGCCAATCCCTCAAATCCTTCCATTCCAGCCCTTTTGGCTGGCCCAAGAGCACACCGCTCTGAGGCCCGAGGACAATTTTATGAGGCCGAAAAGCCCGGCCCCGTGCCCGCTCGGGTGGTCCTGGTACCGGGTCCAAGCTTTAGTTCTTACGTCCTGCTTTGTCCTCCCGACGTTCTCATGGACTCCTCCTGCACCGATATCGAGCAGGATCAAAATCGGTGCGCGCGCTGTGGTAACTGCTCGTTTCCACGCTGCCTTTGCTCAAAAAAATTGAACTCGACCTTTTTAAAATTCCCAAGTAACCCAATAGCTGAGGACTCACAGACCCCTGAGTATTTAGATTCAGCTATGATACAGATTGCCATTGTTGTTTGCAGCGCAACTTTCAATCCCCAAAAAGGGAAGCTTCAATCAAGCTGAGGATGGTAAACTTTTCACAGCGTATGTGTACCATATGTGGGAAGCATTTTACCTCAATCGAGGAGTATCATCACAGGTAATCAGCCCCCTCATCAAGTCTATTGGAGACAGTTGCGCACCTATAGTTGCGATGGGAGATATCTTTGGAACGTTCAAAAGGGGTAGAGGTGCATAACACCCAATCAACCTGCTTTGCCTGTCCTCTCAACCCCTTACATAAAGACTTAGAGCCTGGGTGATATGCCAGCTACGATATCGTTTGGCCGCAAGTGTATTGCATCATTCACCCATTCAGTCACCAATTAACTGCGTTCAAATCCCTCCTTTGAAGATATGTCACATAGTTGCTTCCGGCTGATCACAACCTTATGCACATCTGGTTTGGTAGCGGCTGTACCTAGCTGTACACTTTCCCTTTTCGATGATCTTGTCACATTCACCAACCAGCTTCGCTTGACTTGAAGTTGCATGTATCTACATGTAAAGGTGCTTATATATAAATATTGCTCTTCGCTTGCCAGAGGTGACTTCCCCCTCAACGATTCTTGTGAAATAACGCCAACTTCTACTATAGATTCTTTTGTCAATATTTCCTCAATTCTACTCGCTCATTCTATACCACCTTTATTTCAACCATCACTGCTCTTTGCTTCGGCTCTTGATCTACGAACTTCAAGACTTTTAGATTATCTTGAAAGACTCTCTGATCAGAAAGTAGTAAGTGAATGCTAGGCTTCTAATTCTGACATTATGTGGAACGTGGTGATAACACATTCTTACACTTTTGACCACACCGTCACTCTCAACCAAGCCTATCTGAGATCGTCGCCAATCATGGTAAGCATCCGAAACAAAGTCATCGCAGAGCATCTTAAAACTGAGGGTCATCTCATGGAATCTTGCTGATGCTCGTATGTCCACAATCCAACAGTCTACATCCACCAACACTCCAATGAGTTTTCGAAGCAGGTCCATCGAGAATCTACGACTTCGGCTACAATCCAAAACCGGGCAGCGTAAACCTGACACCACAATGCCAACTGAGGATCTTTATCGTCTCGAGCTGGCCGATCCTCGCTCGCCCATCATCCCGGTCAACATTGAAGCTAATAATTCCAAAGTTCCGAATCGTAATCTGCCACCATCTATGAAAGACTTCCCCACCAATTTTACCAGTGTTCGCGGTCCATCAAGTGTGGCATCTCATCAACACACTTCATTACATAACTTTCCCCGTCGCCGCATGCCTACACCACCCCCACCTTACACGGAGGAATGCCATCAACCTCTACTAACTGCTGATGTACGGCCTACTTGCACTACGGATCCCAAGCCTTCCATCTTTTCTCGTCAACGGACTTCCTCAGCTTCCTCATGGGTTAAGAATGTCATCTCTCGATCGTCATCTAGATCTTCTCTTCGCCAACAATATACGGAAATACCGCTTAGCCCCGAAGAAATAGAAGAAGCCGAAAGAATCAAGTTAGAAAAAGCTCGAATTGCTCTTGCTGAATGGAATCGTATCAGCGAAGCACTCAAAGAGGCCGGCTTCTGAGAAGCTTGAAACCCTGTAGAAAATATGGGATGTGACTTGCGCCATTTGTATATAAATGGATTACTCTTTTTTATTGTATTGTTCGATAGATTTATCTCTTTCTTTATTGTATTGTTATCATAGGTTTATCTCTGGTAGTAGTGAAACCGGTTTCTTGTCAACATATAGAAGGCAATGGTTCTTTCACTTGATAAAGCGGAATACATTAAACTGTTGAAGACTCACGTATATCACAGTTCTTTTGCTACGGCGAGTGAACCACAATCAGCATTGCACGCACAGCAAAATGAACTTGCTCATTCGATGAATATATGAAAGGTAAATAATCCTGAGTCGACTCTAGACCTGGATGACCAGACTCACAGTGTGTTTGACAAAGACCTTCATTGTGTATCTCTGGTATAGCTTTGTAGTTTGGGAAGATGACTTCACTTTCAGGAAGATGATCTAGAGTACAGATGGAGCCGGCAGAAATGCCCAAAGCCAGTATGATTTGAAATCATAAAAAGACTTGCGTACTTCTTGTAAATTGTTTTACAAAGAATCCATTATGTGGGCGCACAATACATGCAAAGGCACACAAGAAGGGTAAAAAACCCAAAAGGTTGTCACCATTGGACAGTTGTTTCCATACATGACCTGGAAAAATTTCTTTGTATGTGATTTGGAGTTTGCTGGGGTTTGGAATGAATTATCTGCCTGCATACCCGAAAAATGTGAACATCATGATTGGAGATCCAGAATTTCAAGTCTTACCAGCTACAGGCGATTGGCTCACAGAAAACTCCCAGAGCACTTGACCCGGTACTTTATAGGACTTGAATGAAAACCCATCCTTTTTCTGGCTAGTTAGAGGCAGCGGAACTGACAGACTTGACCACTGGTTTTCTTTTTGTCAAACCCTGACCAGTGAGTTGCAAGGGTGTATAGAGTATGTGAATTAATGAGTTTTCACAAGCTTCTGGGTACATAGCTAAATCTGCAAGTCCTGGTCATAGGTCTTTGATTGACTGATTGGCAGAGTAGTACATGGCAGAAAAAAATTTAAGACCCCTAAACTTTGCACAAAAGTTTAAATTAAACCTGTAATCTTCACAAAAAAGTGGCATTGGGTACTGCAAAGGTGTCTGAACCAGTGGGACAAGGGGTCACCAATTAGGGGGTCATGTCAGCTGGTGGGCGCGAACTCTGGAAAAAGGTAGCGCCCAGGAGCGCCCATACAGGCTCCCGGCGCTACTTTTTTGGCAGGAGGCGCGAGAGGCGCGAGAAAATTAAAAAAATTAAATAAGATGGCTAAAAAGCAGTTTCTATTATGATTCTAATCGGATGGGTTTTCTTTGAACTAAATAACAAGGTCATCTGCGCTCCAATCTTCATCATCAATATCTTCATCTTCATTGATGGTTTGTACTTTAGCTCTATTACTTACAATAGTAGTGAAATTAGAAATGTCGAACAAAGTTTCAATAAAGCCAGAGTAGGCTACCTCTATATCCATTTCTGTATGTGAGTCATGCTGAGCAAAAACTCCATCTTCAAATTCTTGCAATTCATCGACTCCGGAGAAGATACCTGATTCAACCTCATCTTCATAGTTAACAATGCTGAGATCCTTGACAGCTGGATCCACAGCTTCCTCGGCTTTGATCTGGAGCTCGAGCTGTGATATCATTTTAAGATTTGTTACAGTCATCCGACTACGATTCTTGGTTTTTGTTGCACCCATCATGCTGAATACACTTTCAACACCTGCTGCGTGCGCCACCAGCTCAAGTACTCGGATGGCGAAGGCTTTGAGGATAGTTGTATTTGGAGTCGAGCGAATCGCTAGCCAGTAGTTCATGGCTACAGAAACCGTAGTAGTTGGTTGAAACAACCCTTCGCCGCTGAAGTATTGTATTATTTGATTCTTAAGACTGAGTGCTTCAGATTTCTTGTAGCTCCATGTCTTGGCGATTGAAAGTATCAACTTGATCATGGCATCTATTGGATATGCACGTGAGACAGCGACTTGAGAATAAGAGGGATTGAGAAAGAATCCAGCGATGTAAATTGGCTCGTTGAATATCTTTGCTTGCTCGTTCAAGACCTTGAGACAATGAGATTTGTAAAGAAGGAATCGTGGATAGCTCGATAAGTCAATCTTCAGTAGCTGATTGTAGACTGTGATGATCTCTTTCCAAATGTTGCCTACTGAGGTATTCGCTTGCTCTAATCTACTGAGAGCATCAATCACCGGTCGGATTAATTTTACTAGGATCGAGTTTGAAGTGAAGTGATCTCGATTCTCGATAATGACTTGTACATTCTTATTGATTGTTGGAGTCGAGATTGAGTTGTCTTTCAATAATGAAAGACACATTTGAAAACCTCGTTCGTGGCTTTCGACCGATAATGCAACCTTTGACATCGAATGCCATCGAGACTCGCAGAAGGTTTGGAGTCCGTGTGTTATGCCTTCTTTCATACGCCACTTGAATAGCTTCTGGCTCCAGAAGTGAGATGAGCTGAAGAAGTTGACAATGGTTCGGTCGTTGTTTGCGGTGTCCTTCATGTCCGGGTGGTCAAGACACTTCTTGACGATGAGATTAAACACGTGTAAACAACACGCTAATGGGATGACATGAGGATACTCTTCTCTAACGAGTCTCTGTAAAACCAATTGGTGATGAACAAAAAACTCTCAGCCTTCTAAGCATCACAAGAAAAGAAGAAATGAGGAAGACAAAAAAGAAATATATCAAGTACTTACTCGTAACTTGACCATTGAACTGGGTGAATCAGTGACAATAGCTCCTATCTGCTCCCAGGTGACATCTTGCCCGTGTAAAGCAGTTTTCAAAGCAGCCAGGATGTTGTCTGAAGTATGTCGGATCTCATCCAAGTCTAGAACATCAATAAGCTTCTTGATTCGGGTACCACGTAAAAGAAGGACAGCATAGACACTGTTTCGGGAGCAGTCAGTCCATCCGTCTAATGAAATAGTCATATTGCTATTCTGCTTAAGTTCCGCTTTTGACGCAACTGCATAACGAGCATGAAGTTGTGGAAGAACTTTGTCCATCATAACGTATCGTGAGGCTGGAGTGAATGGAGCAATTGAGAGTTTCTGTTGAAATTCGAGAAATGATTTGTTATGGAGAAATCGAAAAGGAATATGGCCAGTAATGAGTGCTTTGAGTAGATCTTCATAAATTTTCATATTTTCTTCTGGTTTACGGATACTGAAATGATGGAGATTTGAAAAATCATGATCAAGTTTTGGTCGTTTTAAAATGGAAACAGGTGCGGGTGTTGATCCAGTTGATTCTTCTGGTGTCGTATTCAGTGGTTGTAGTGCAACTTCAAGATTGACTTGTTGGTAATTAGATCTTTCGTGTATTGAAATGGATTTACACAATTGAGTCATATGGTGATATAATTTTGGTGGCTTCCCATCCATTTCTAACTTGCAGAATTTACACTTTGCACGGCGTCGTCCGTGGTGGCGAATGCTGAAAGCTTTGAATCCAGTCCATTTGTTACCGCTACCTGAAGGAGGCTCAATCCACGTTGCTTTAGGTGACATAATTGATAGGTGAATGAATAAAGGTGCCAACCCCAGCGCTGATAGAGTGGGAACTCCTTGAAGGTGGGCGTGAGAAAGGGTGGAAACCTCCTTTTCTCACCTACTTAGGTTTGAGGGCGCTCCCACCCCTTTTTTCAAAAAAAAACCCGCGCCCGGGAGCGCCGCTCCCAGGCGCTGCTCAGGGCGCCAAAATCGCGCCGCGCCCACCACCTGACTTGTGAGAGTGTTTTTGGGTACTTGAGCATTAAGGGCGGATGAATATCTAAGGATTTGCAATGCTGTGAGGAATCCGATTTGAGCCACCTCGGACGATGTGTTCACTGTCCCTGTTCTCGGTCTGACACTTGACTTCATGGCAAGCAGGTAAAACATAAGATAAATCAAGTCATCGGAACAACGCATGATGAACCTGAACGATCCCAACATGTAAAATGAGGTGCGAAACATGTTCAGTGTGAAGAACAAAAGTTGCAGGATTTTTAGGCACATGGAGATGGACATTTCTATAACAAATTCTTTGTAGTAATCATTAATTTCCAGATTTAAAACCGGAGTACCATCATCTAACCAGATCCACCCTTGTAAACCTTTCCGAACATAAGCTCCTGGAGCTTGTCGTACCTGTGATGAAGTCGACATGTGAGAATGGCGGTCATTGTAATCATATGAGACATGAAATACGTACATGGACAAGACACCGGCACCGGCAACACCTCGGAGAATGTTGGCACCTGCACCCTTGAACAAGTACTGAAAATGCAAAAATGTCAGATCCCGAATGACAGATATGGAAAGGTAATTCACTAACCGAAACACCCTCGGTCTTGACGATCTGGGCACCGCAGTCGAACATGCCCTTGTAGTGAACCTTCTCTCCAGAGGTCATCATCATACGTCGTCGGATAGTGTCTACGCTCAGGCAAGAGCATCAGTAAGGATTCTGCGGCCATGAAGTAAGCGATCGGACAAACTCACCAAGTGGGTAAGAGGCAATACCGGAACCAGTAGTGACACCCCAACCGAGAAGGAAGGAGGCCAAGAAACTACCGTCAAGGGATCCAGTAAGGACAACAGGTTTGAGCGAGTCGTACATTCCGAAGCTATGAAAAGATGGAAAGTTAGCCAAACAAATGTTGAACAGCGGTCTTGGCCGGATAATAATCGAGTAGAAGACGCACTAAAGACCACGGTAGACAACGATACCGACAACGGAGGGAACGAAACCACGGTAAAGACCAGCAACACCATCGGTGGCTAAAGTCTTCTTGTAGACATCGAGCAGACCGTTGAATTGACGTTCACCTCCACCCTTGGCAGATTTGTTGTCGTTGGCTAATCGAGTACGAGCATAGTCGAGGGAGTATACAAATAACAAAGACGAGGCACCGGCAGCACCACCAGAGGCCAAGTTTCCGAACATCCATAAACCGTAACCGTCTTTGTCCTTCTTGTAACCGAAAAGTGATTTGAAGTAATCCTTGAATGCAAAGTTCAAGGCCTGTGTAGGGAAGTATCGGATGACGTTGGCGGTGTTTCCTCGCCAGACTGATAGGATCGATCGTCAGCTAGGAGATCAAAACATGTTTCCAAAAGAATGATGCGGCTCACGGGATACGACACCCTCGTCAGCGTAGGTACGCTTGAAGCAATCGACAATACCGGCGTAAGGTTTATCAAGACGACCGGTCTTGAGCATCTCACCCTGATTCTGTACCAAAAGCTTGACACGCTCGATGGGTGCAGCAGCAGTCTTGGCGACAGCGGCAGAGACACCACCCATCATGAAATCGGCTGCAAAAATGGAAAAATGAGTAAATTGATGATTGGAGGCAATAAACCGAATGTAGAACTGACTGAAGAAATCTTGGGCACTCTTGCCCTTTTTAGTAGGCGCCTATCAGAGTCAATAACCGCATCGATCAGTATGGAAGTAGAAGTTGGAAAGAATCGCAAGAGAAGAACACGACTCACCGACATGGTAACCTAGGCTATTAAGCAAAAGACACAAAGCACCGGATCAGAATGATAGATCAAATCGGAAAGTCAGTGATCGGATCAGAACGGATGAGATTGTAAAGCTGATAGGAAGTGATCGAGCTGAAGAGGATGTGTGAGTGTGAGAGAAAGGAAATAGGTCGCACTTATATGAGTTAATATGAAAAAGGGAAACTCGAGGTTGAGATGATTTGGAAAGGCGAGCGAGCCAGCGGTCAACAAGGGGTGAAGAGAAGTTGGGGTTCAAGAGGAAGAATTTGTTCCAGCTTAAGAATTGATGGGTGTAGCCCTACCCCTCCTACGCACGGCTACGCACGGACCAGGCTTGCCCGGTGGTCTCCGTTGTGGTATCACGTGACTTGATCGAGATTACATGATCGATTTCCTGTATCTCACTTCAATAGGTTTCGATCAAACTTCAATCCTGATTCCTATCTAAAACCATACACAGCGGATCAGCCCGGACAGTAGCATTCCCGACGTTACTTTTGAACCACCAGATTGCATGATAAGCCTCTAGAATCATGTGCGTTCGGAGCTGGTCTTCTCTGTTTAAGATTGTTGAATGAAATCAAGAAGTAGATATACGTCTGGTTGCACTCAAGAAGACCCATCAAATTGTACAAGCATTCGCAGCCGGAACATGTCACCAGCAGGCCACGACACTAGCTGTGTCGTGACTCGTATGATGTATCCTTTCTACTTGCTTGTACATATTTGATTTACTGTCCGAGAGTTGCAGAAAAGTTTCATAGATTTACTCGCGAAGGTGAAGCGGATAGACATCTCCCACATCGGTCACGGTTCTCACCATCATGTGGAGATAAAACTGGCATGGTTCCAAGGAATTATCATTTGAAGAAGACATCATAAGTACCTCCGTATTCATCATTGATGAACATTTGGTAAACATTATTTGAATGATCACAGCAAAATGTATATACAGGTACAGCAAAGATCATTCAACACACAGAGGTACACGGTTTTGCTGTAATTATTCGAAGTTTTTTTTGAAGGGCCGTCAATGATGAACACGGCTGTACGTCACTCAGTCCAAGATTGTGAGGCGAATTTGAGTCCTGCAGGAAATTGTGCATGATTATATAGGTGACAATTCAACCTGGAAAGATATGTACATACAAATGATGAAAGCCTCAAGATGATGCATGGCCAAGATTCTCTGGGGAAGCAAGACTCTACATAAAACTTTCCACTTCAAACTTCCTCCTGCCTCGCCGAAACCCAAGTAACAAAGATCAAATCAACCTAAGAAGTTGCAATGATCGGAAATTCTTCAAGGGTTTCTACTCAACAGCACCAATTATGCAGAATTGTTGTTGAATTTGTAACAGGGTTATCAGGACTGTATGTCAAAGCACACTATGTATAGGTGATTAGCTTTGGGTGTAAACATGATCAATGATCATGATGGATGTAATGAAGTCACAGAGCAGGTGCCGCCCGAGCAATTAGAAAACACACCAGATTAACTCGCTTCCAAAGCCTAACAAGGGACTAGACCTCTCACTGAGGAGTCAGGTTGAGTCTCTGCGCTTATGTTGTGTCTCACCTACCAACAATCCGATCAATAAACAAGAATTTATTTTCATTGCTTTCATTTCTTTCGAATCGTCAAACAGTTAATCTGAAGTGCTTCACAAAACCTCTCAATGGTCTTAGTAGTACTAAACCAATAACCTACAAAACACAAAAATACCGATAAACGTAGGTAGATCAGTTCTCCAAAAGGTGTTAATACCGTGGGCCTAAAAATCGTTGAAGATCAACAGATCAAGGAGACTATTAGAATACAAAACACTAGACTCAAAAGGTGCGATGATTGAGCTCACAGGCCTAATGTCGGTAAATTGACTAATATGGAGCCCATGATCAACGGTAGCATCATCATCGACCAATAGGGGAATGCCCCTTTGGTTAGATGTGCCAATATAGTCCTCGTTGACATCCTGCCAAAAATGAGACCTGTGTAATGAGAATGGAAGCACTGCGTGAGGACATGGCAAATCATAGATAATGATTCAAGAGAAGATATAATAGTGGTAATCGTTAGGTGCAACGAGTGAGAATAACGCACATAACATCAAACTCCACTCCATGAGTTTTTTATTTTCGAGTAAATGAGAAGCAGGAGAAGTGATCCAGGCGACTGAGGCACCGGTATAAACCAGTAGCGGCAGAATACGGAGCAGAGGTTGACCAATCAAGCCAAGTCTAGCCTGTTCGGATTTCAGGTTAGGTTGTCGGGCTTCCGCTACAATTTTCCAAACGTTATAGAAGCTGATAAGTGCATTAACAAATAAATGATGCCTTAATGTCAATGTCATGATCATGGTGAGATGTTGTCTATAAAAGTGATTACCAAAAAGGAGCATGTCCAATAACCAGCGCGGTGAGCACAAAGAACACAAACAGGTCCAGAAACTTCAATTCATGTCCAAATCCAGCAAAAAAATCGGTGACAGGGGCAGGCAAATCAAACTTGGTTTTGACTGCGGAGTGCCAAATTTGGTTCCCATTGAATCCGGAGTTTAGTAAGATCGCCATGGCAATCAGAAGCCCCTCAGTCGGGCTGGCGCAGACAAAAGATTCGATCGGGTTGAGAGGTTTGTGATGGAATTAAGAGCACCCAATCTCGCTAGAATCTTAAGTGATATAAGCAACGCATGAACTGACCCATTGATAAATCCCAGATACAATACACCCTGTTTTTTTGAAAATGAAGGCAAGTATAGAGGCCGAATGAGCGTCTGCATAACGATGGTTTGATCCAAGCATGCTCAATACTCAAGCATATCCACTCTGACATACAGTATGATATTCCTCCCAAGTACTCTAAGAAACAAGAATTTGTATCAGTCCAAACGGCGTGAGAATGCTAGAGCAGAGAGAGATTTGAAAACCGTCGACTCACGAGGTACATTGGCCAGCAAGCAACTACCACAATAAACACCGAATAGAAGGATTGCCCAGTTCCTATGGCCGCGCATTGTATCAATCCACCCAAGACACAGTTGAGTGAGTCGATCCCATGGTCGAACAACTGATGGAACAGAACAGGATTTAAGCTGATATTAACTAACTATATTCCTGTGAGTATACCCGATAAAAAGTGGCGGAGGACCACATACTTCTCCTAAAGGCGAGGATGTGCCAGTTTTGCGCGCCTGTTTACCGTCAACATCTGTGTAGAGGAATTTTCTAATTTCAGCGCTTGAACTTACTTCCTACAGTGAATCTTTCAGTCAGCAGCACTGACTATCTAAGGTCTGATACGAGAAAAGTCCGATTGCAAAGCTATCAAGTCAAATGGAAAAGCGGTTGGCTTCAAATGCTGTGAAGGAATGAATGGAAGAAACGCTGAGATACAGAAAACGTACGAAAAGTAAACCCATCGAGGCGCTTCGGATTCTAGGTCGGGCATGTAGATCGCTACCGTCGCTATATTTATCAAAATAAAAAATAGCCCGATGAGGGTGATCATGTTCGGCCTATTATAAAGGATATAAGAGCACAAAGGTCAGTCAGGTTATAACGTGCGCTTGAAGCCCGCAGACAAGCCCCCGATCCTAGCCCCTTCTGGCCAGACCTCGATTCCAGGCAAGGCTTGTGCAAGGCTTGTTGCCGGAGATATACCCATGTCACTTACGCGACCCATCGTGGCATCCATTCAGCGACCCAGTTCCACCCTGTCCCTCGTCATACGTCGGTGAATGGGTTTGCAGTCAAAAGAACCCAAGACTCGAACCGTCAACTTCTTCCGCCACTACGTCGATGATTTCGAGACATGATGTCTGTGTGGTGAACGCGACGTACAGTGTCTCAAAATGTACTTCGTTGTCGGTGACAGATCAACTGCGCTATATCGATAGTCCCTGCAAAGGAAAATCATTGAGGCTATGTATCAGAATCGATTGCCGGATGACAAGCAATCACGATATTTATCGGTGGGATAATCTACCTACCTGAGCCTTGCAAGGTGGGTATCATCAACATAGTCTTCGATCCGTACACATTCGCTGAAGTCTATGATCGGCATCACCGGCACAATTCAAAAGACGGAGTTGGTCTTTGAACTTTGAAGGTCTTGACGCTCCCGATTGTTGAACTTGGATGGCTATCTAGAAACCTCCAAACTTGCCAAATACCATGTCTCCCTGCCGCAGACGAGTACCGAACGAGCCATCGACCCAGCGTCCCCACATCAGCATTACCCGCGGCCCTTATCAAATGTGGACGGGGTCTCATCAACTGGGCAGTCTCGGCGAGAAACATTCAGCCAAGCCTCATTCGTGTTGCTTGTCTTGTGTCCGTACGTCTTGGAAATAACTTCATAATAAACAACACATAATCTTCATATTGAAAAATTCCCATTGCGAGAGGAAAGGATGGTTTATATGTGGAGAAACGTGAAGAGAGACATTAGGTGATGGACAGAGTATACAAAGCAGGTAGTCATAAATCAACAATCAAGAAAAAGTGCGCAAGAATGAATGCCGTTCACGTGGGGAAAGTCTTTGACCTTCTATATGAAGAAGCTGCTGAACGTACATTTGGAAGGAGAGATGAAATGCACATCTTTGAGCCTATACACTAAATCATTGAGTGGGATGATACAATATTCCAGTTAACGAGGATCAGGGGGAGTACATATGAACACAAAGCACGCGATGAAAATTATGTAGCTTGACATGAGCCATTTGGAAACAGAGACAGTATCAGTCATGGGGTTTCCATCACTTGACTTCTGTTATGCTGGTCAACGATTTATCAAGATGCCGTGTCCTGTGAAAGCTTCGTGATGACGGGGATCGTGTGTATATGCTCTCTCATATGATAAGGGTGAATGTGGCTGGACTTCACGCATCCCATAGCCGATATTTGAAGCCATGCTATTTGATGTGATCATGTCAGCTATGTTGCGCCCGTCTTCGACCCTGCTTTGACTACCCCTAAACTGTATTGAAGCATGTTGCAAACCAGGCCCATTTTCAATAGACTGCACTAATTCTTCAACAAGGCGTGAGGTATCTGTGGGTGGCTCGCGCGTGATTCGAGATGAGTTTCGGGTGAAATTGGCAGTCTTTTGTTGTGAATGGGCTCTAATGCCCAACGTCTCTTCATGCTCGCCTTTGGCGTAATCGATGTATGCTGGAGCACCTGGCAAGTTGATAGAGAGCAGGGTTTGCACGTTGAGCTCAAAGACCTAGTATGGAGCTTTATAAGAACACAATAGTAGAAGCAAAATTGATTTACAATACAATGTTGCACCTGTACCAGATTGAGCAATGAATTTCTTGATATCTGTTTGAGTGTCGCATTTTTCGACCGCGTCTCGGACGAGATGACATTGCTGAAAGTGCCTCGAATAAGCGCCAATCAGAATTTGGGAGAGATTTTGAACATCTGAGCGGAAGTCACGCAACTGCATCCTCCAAAAGGCTGACAGCAGAAAGGCTATCGGTATATGTACATATTGATGATTGAATGAAGTCGATTCGATCTTCCTCCAGGTCTTGAATCAACTATGCAATATCACAGGGAAAACAAGTTAGAATTTTAGCCCAATAATGAATCCCCCCTTAGGGTGATGGGTACTCACATCGCAAAAAGTTTTCCATTGCAACGTCCATTCCTGGGAAGTCTCTTCCAGGTTGTTGGTAAGGACACGATATTGTTTTTCTTCAAATGTGACAAGCACTTAAGATGATATTCTGACGCCTCGAGAATATCGGAGGACAGATAGATAGACGATACATACCTGTCGATGAAATGCTCGCACTAGCTTTATCAAACTTGACCCCAATGCGGTCCTTCTCCCTTCCTTCCACAAGATGAAGTTGTGCTCCATACCCGTTCACCGCGATGGAATCCACCTCAAATTTGCTTCGAGCCTACATGGTTTAGGCCAAATATCAGGGATATGTATTACTGATCTCTAGACATTGCGAAAGCAAGCGAACGTCCTGACCTTTTCTTGTAGCTGCTGTAATTCTATAAGCTTTTTATGCAGTTTTTCGATCAAGGCTTGCGACTATTGAAGGTAATAACAGAGACATGAAAAACATTACGTGAGATCACAGTACTTGACTTTCGCAGCATTGTGCGTGCCAAATTACACGATAATAGAATTCTTCGGTGGCAGTGTACGGCTTACATTTTTGCGAGCCCCATCGCGCTTCGCGATGAACTTAGCGGCGCTTAACTCCAATTCCTTTTTGAAACTTCTACTTAATTCTGAATGTGAATGAGCTGATCGGGCGGTAACTTCACGAATACACTCGAGACTGTGGTTGATGCCACCGTATTCGAGTCCAATCGCGCGAAATAAGTTGACTTTGCTGAGCCGGGCGAGTTGTTTTGAATAGTCAGCTTCGATGGCAGCGCGTTGCTTGTACCAATTCTTCAGTTCTGTCAGCACCCTATCCGACGTTTTGACCCGATGTAAGATTTTTTCATATCCTGCTTCGCCCCAAAAGGAGTTGCAATATTCATCTGAAAGATGAGCGTGAGGGACGTGTGCATGTTGATCACCGCTTGTGCTATAGCTATCATTGCGCCTTCTTCTAGACCTGCGGGGGCGGGAACGCCGGTTGGGAATTTGGAAGAGATCACGAAAGCGGAGCATTTAGGGATTGACGAGTTTGAACGCAAAGATGTTGCCTGGAGTATTTTTACTCTGGACTCTGGAATATGTACATGGTTAAGCCAGGGTTTGGAAGACAAATGTCCAATTCTTGATAGATCACAGCATGCCGGCCAAGTGAGATGAAGGTGAGATTATCATGCAACCAAAGGCCAGGAGTAACTTTCGCGTGGTCTACGTAAAGTATGCTTTCAAACGCGCGATTCATGCATAACTCTGCTATAGAATCCGTTCTGAGATAGGGGGGTGGCAGACCCGTCAGACATGCGATGACGCAGTGGCTCTTGACAGAAGCCGCTGCTGCTCCGATAGCACCTGATACTACGGTCTACCTGATAGCACAGGATAGCACCCAAGAATAAACTTAACAAAGTCCCAAAGGAGAAGGACGTTCAGTTAGCGTGCATCTGTATTAGATACAGCGTGAGATGAGTTGAGCTCACCAAAGTAAGTGCCAGGATGGATTGAAACCTCCACCGCGATACGCTCACTTAGCCTCAAAACTTATGTAAGCACATATGCCATATGCCGAAACGCTCTGGTTCATCATCCCACAATGCCATCTCTTACAATCAAAATTCAAGAATGAAATGGGTTCATACACCACGGGTAGGCTTGGACGGCCGATGGGCGGCCTGGGCAGGCCGCCCATCAGGCGTCCACCACTGCAGGGAGATGGGCCGCCCTTGGGTAGCCTCCACGCGGACGGACTATAGGCCGCCTCGTGGTTCCGTCTGCAGACTGCCCAAAGGCAGACAAACCCCCGCCAACATACCGCCCTGATGTAGCCTGAGGGCTGTGACCCGGGCTCAAAAAGCCCTGACGTGGCGTGCCAAGGGGCCATACACAGACGCCCCGGGGCCCATCCCACGGCCGGGTTACACACGGTTGAGAAGCGAACCCGCGGGGCTTCAAAAGCAAACGGGCCATTTCGAGAGGGACCGACGAGTAATGGATGTGCTAGTATTAATTGCCTGGTTCATTTCATTGGGTCATTGCTCTAATTGCTCTAATGAACTACCAAAACAACAACAGCAATATAATATGATAAGAATAAGATAAGCTTTTCATAGACCACGTGTTAACCATGAGACGTGGCAACATCAAACGTCATCAGTGTCCTCCATTTCCTCGCCCAAAACTTCACTTTGCTCCTCCTGCTCCTCCTCCATAGGACCTGCAGCCACTCTGTTCAAAACAACCTCATCAGTGGATAATTCCAGTACATACCCGCTGGAGATTGCACTCCAACTTCTTTTACCGTCGAATATCTCGCGGTCATTTTGATATATATAGTCATAAAATCTGTGGCAAAAGCAATCAACATCAGCCCAATCATGCTATTTAGCACCCGTACAAGCGGACGTCAAGTACTTACAATGACGAAAAGTCAGGATGTTCTTGATCCATTTGGCGCAGGTGGTCCAGCTGTGCGTCCACTTCACACCAAATATTAGTGTTTGATGGAGTCTTACGCAGGCGGGCAGCCTCCCTTTGAAGATATGTGAGTCGACTGCGTGCTGGTCCGGCCGCCGCTGCCCATGCAGTCTTCGGATCCACTGATTCGTTGATGATGCCGCATTTGATGGCCACTCGATACCACAAAGCCTGTAAAGTAGGAACCGCTACGACCTTCACGGTTCTGCTCTTCTGACTTTGGATGTTTGTTAAGAGCTGGGAAGGCCAGAGCTGACCTCAGCCTCTATATCAAATTACAATACGTATGCAGGACGACTCACCAACAGGTGCAACTTCTCGCGTGAGTGCTTACAGGCTTCCTTGATTGCCGTACAGTAATTTCGTATACCCTTGGCGTCGTTAACCCCGCGGATTTTGCCTGGAAGGTGTTGAGCTAACCAGGGGGCATCTTGCTTCGCTACCCGCAGCTGGGTAATCAAAACGAAACCCAGGAATCAGCACGCTGAGAAGAGCCAATGAGATGATTGACTCGCCCTGATGGTATTGAAAAGCGACCTTGGAAGGTAGTTCTTTGCACCGTCCTCAATCGCGGTGTAGGCCTGCAGATTGGCCTCAGGTAACAATTCGACTGACAAGGCGGTGACAAGGGCCTATTGCATGGTGCGTAATAGCATATCAGTTCACTGGTTAACGCTGATTGTGTCGACGACTCACTCTCAGTTCCTTTGAAAGTACCCATTTCTTTCTTTTAGGAGGTTCGCCGTTGGATGCATTGCGAGCAGGAACCGCAGGAGGAGCGTCACTTTGGCGTACCGCCAAGCCGTCCGTTTGTATGGCCTTGGTGAGATCTCGCAGGTTTTCGGAAAGAAGATTGATCTTGGTGGAGAGATCATCGTGAACGGCTCGAAGCTGGTCTTCAAAGGTATGTACCAGGGATTCCACCTTGTCAGCAGTTTGGGTTATGTAGTACTGCGCCCTGGCAGAATCAGCTGATCGCGCCAAATGTCGATGGTTTTCACCCACGATCTGTCAAATGTTAAAAGATATATATGTTAAAAGAACTTCAACCAACCTCAGCCTCGCTCAGGCGTGGTTAGCAATGCAAAATTCTGACCTCAGACAGATCACGCGCATACTGCCGATGCTTGTCATCGAATGATTCCGTCAATTCCGCCAGGAAATCAGCTTCCTGGCGAGTTAGGTCTCGGCTGAGCTGGGCAGGGACCCCAGAGGCCAACTGGCTTTCGGGACGCGAGTCATGGGCAAGTGAGCTCTGCTGAGACGTCAATGCTGAACCCCCGGCAGGTGCTTGAGTAGGTGATCGAGAACGCTGCCGCTTCTTCGACGGGCCACGAGTGGGGCTGACATGGTCAGCCAAACTTTTGGCAGCCAAAGTGGTCTTAGCTTTGACCTTTGGGCGAGGTCGAGTTCCAACGGAAGCCAGGGTTTCCCGGCTGGCACTGCCGATTAAACTGCGTGGGTTACCAGTGCAAGGGCCATCTGGAACACACAATTGTCCTGATCAGTACACTGGCCTCGCACACATAAGGGCTCCGAAAGGCCGATTCTTACTCTGAGGTGAGACCAAATCCGCGTGGTTGTTCAGCCCCCGTAGGTACGTCGACATGGCCGGCGTTTGATGATCTCCAGGCGCATGGGACCCACCCGGCTGTGGGTTCAGCAGATTACCTATTCGGATGGAAGGCATTAGGATGCTATTGGAACGTTGGGCGAGGAAGGCTCACCGAACGGTTGTGACTGAGTAGGTGCCATACTTGGTGTGTAAGATGGACTCGTCGTGCCCCAAAGGCCCATCATGTGGCCGTTAGGGATCTTTGACCTAATCCACTCTGAGACGAGTTTAGGGTCGTGGTAAATGGGACTTTATTCTTTCTTCTTGCAATACCTTGGACTTCGCACTTTGGACTTCAACTTTCATTCCAGTCCATCTTGACATCATCAAAAGAACTCCAACAGTCGCTCACAAAGGCTTTCGGCAATGACAAATTCTACCCCAGTGACTCCCAAAACGTGAGTCTGCTTATCATACAGCGTGGCAACCATCTGGCCCCTCTGACTTGTCTGTTCAGATGTGTCGAGGACCCCCTTGGTTCAGCTTGGCCCCTCGCGGAAAGTGTGCAACCAACTTTAGGTTCGCCGTTGGCCAACTCGACGAGTGGACCCAATGGCCAAGCAAGTACTCCTGACTTGGGTTGGTCGGCCATCCCCACCATTCCTTGAAATAGTAGGTCCAGCGGCGACCGCAGCAATTTAATGGCCTCGGAGGGTCAGACGGGTGAGTGTCTGACCATTCCTCAGGTGTTTCACTGCTGTCACTGACCCCGCTTCGAACGTGCACACTGATAGATGATTACCAAACGCAAGGACCTCTTCGCCCTCGCATTACCTACGCCGAGGTTGCCCGGTTCATAGGCAGACATACTCTTAGGCACTTTCTGACTTATGCGGACTTGTCGGTGCAAACTAAAAACCGAGTACTCAGGATTTGTAGTTTGCAAGAGATCCACAGTTTCCATATATTTTTGTTTCCTGATCTCATCTCGCCTCAGCAAATGAGCCTTTGGGGAATACCGTATGGTGTCGCTGCCGAAATCATGTTACGCGCGGAAGGATATTACCACCATCTTGTACATTGCGAAAGGATGAGTTCGGCAGAGCTATAATTACAATTGCATAGGTGTAAATCTTTTTACCTACTTCATATGGGCCTGCTTCGTTCAATGAAAGATATATCCAAGGTGGTTATTATAGGAAATTGCCCAAAAGATGTGTGTGAGCAGCGTGAAATACAAACAAACGTACGGGGGTATATTGTTTGCGCAATTGATTGGCTTCCAGGTCGAAGCCAATCCAACATCGCGACTTATCTCCAAAACATGTCGTTGGGAGTTCTTGATGGCCACATGTTGTTATAAATCGGCAGAGATTTGAGTTCAGCCAATGATGATAACCGATCACCGGGTGATTTGTTCAGCAACTCCGTAATGAGTTCACACATATCGTCCGTCAAGAATTTTGGCAGTCTGACATTGGCGTTCAGAACCGGGTTGCCTTTGCAACTCGGATGCAAACCTGCGTGAGCGAACCCTGGTGAGCGCTTTCTTATGGACAGACAGTCATCCCGTAGAAAATCACTGACTTTCATGGAATGGCTTGAGATACGTTATCATGTAATAGACCAGAATTCCTAGGGACCACCAGTCCACCGAGGTACCATAGCGGCCACCTTCAATCATCTCTGGCGCTCGGTCTATGGAATCCATCCCGTGTTCACCATGCGCAGTTCCCTCGGCATTGAGCAAGCACATGGAGTCAAAATCATACAGTTTGATGGTGTAATCTTCGGAACATAAGACTCTGAAATCATCGAGATTGCGGAGGACCGCCCCCTTCGAGTGAATGTGGTCTAAAGCCGCGGCGATTTGTAACGTATAATGCGCGGTTTCGTCTTCGGACAAGTTCCTCTGAGTGAGAAGGTCCCCTAGAGTTGGTGTGTCTTGATCATATGCAAACACTAAGTTCAGGGAGTTCGAAACTTGGTAATGCCCGAGGAAAGCCACAAGGCGAGGATGTTGAAGCTGTTCCACGATGCCCAGCGTAGCTTTGACGGTTGGAAAGTGGCTGGTACCCTCGCAATTCCATTTGTATTGACACTTGATAGCCACGATATGGCCATCGGCCTTCCTTTGCGCCTGGTGAATGGTGCAATTATAACCAAACATAACGCTGATGAGACGGCGAAAGTCATTCTCCGCCAAAGTGTCGTTAGGGAAGACGTCCCATCCGTCTGCCTTGCTGTTAAGATCAGGGGTGTCTGCCGTGATAAGTTTGGGTTCTTTCGTGTCAGGCTCGCTTGACGCATCCCGGTCGCACTCTGGCGTTGTGCGTTTAGGCATGATTGGATAGGAAAGCGCGTGATGAGTGATGGACTATTCACCTTGCATATGAACAGACGGCGAATAGAGATTTATCGGGCTCCCATATCATCAAAGGGCAACTTGATATCAAGGTTATCACACGCAACCAATATCATGGTTCATACACTGCGGCGATAAGTGACGTATTGCTGATACATCACTTATCTTGTGCGCCGATATTGAAGTGATCATTTGGCGGTGTGAGCGAATTTTGGTTGGATTACTACAACCAAATAAGTTTGGTGACCTTTGGCAGCGTTTACCAAAAGTCGTCAAACCAATTCCATCATTTCCAGAATCCCTTAGTTCTTTGATTCTTTGGCAGGTCTTCGACTAACCCGCGAGGGAACAAGTCAATACCCATGCCCATTATAACCATGGCCTGGGTACAAAGAGGCCCTGGGAACATCTGGTAAGTTCCAAAGGTTTTAGACGCCCACATCGCACAATTTTGCAATACTTTTGCACTTAGTACACCTCATAGTACGCTAATACAAAACCACATAGTACGCTATTACAAAGGTTTATAGAGCATGAAACTTATTTCCGACATCCTACCACCCAAACCATTTCCGCACACTCCTTGCATATTAAAACCAACAGGAAGCACCGCAGGTCAGGTTCCTAGAGCCACTTTCAAGGTGATTCCGGTTCCGCCGCTTTGCCTTTCTTTTTGCGAACGGGGCGCGGTGTGGCCTTCCACTTCGTGATGCCAGTTGAGATGTATTCGTTCCATTGTCCAGGCAAGATGTTAGTTACATGTAGATCAGATAATTTTCGATGTAATTCCGCTGAGTAGTGGGCCGCGTAATTCAGAATGTATGAGTTGTGAGGCGTGTGTTTGATCGTCGGGACTGATATCTTTGACTCTTTACATTCCACCTTCTTGGTTTGGGTTAACGTGACTGAGCATTGGCCACCGGAGCAATTGTGCTGCATATTGACCAAACATTCCACTTGCTGACGGGCCCAAAGAAGCGGCGGTTAATGATGCCGACTGGAAGAGAGCCATGGTATCAAAGGGATAGCTTACCTTGATATCACATGGAAATATGTTGTTTGAGATCACAAATTCCCGCATGCCGTAGAACGGGACGATTCGCCCCTTGTTGCATTTGGCGAGTACCAGAATTGATTTCGAGGATGCCTCATTGACGGGCTTCCAGATTGACACCACCTGGCCGATTATTCCATCTCGATTCACCTGGTCAGAGCAAGATGGCCACGCCGACTGAGAATTCCACCTCTAGGCCACGCAAGCGAAAGACATACCACCACAAAGTCATCCTTTTCAATCTTATGGCGTGATGGTAAAGTGACGTGATCCAATTCTTGCAACCGCACTTCCAACCCCAATTGTCTTAGACAATTGGGCAGATCCCCCTGGGTCGACTTTGCTCCTGTGGCCAAAAAACAATTGACAAGATCACGATTGAGGGATGTGATCAGAGGGTAGCAAGTATGACAGCCTGCGATGCGTAGACTCACCGCTGTCCATGTGCAATCAAATGTTATCAACACCCATGTTCAGGCCCAATGCCTGAGCCAACTCGGGTATTCGAGTGAAAAGGGATTGCACATTGCCTCCCGCTACGACGCGCGCCTGTAGTTCATGATCAAAAAAAGACGTGCCTGAAAGCAAGATGCGGAGCATCAACGCCGTGAGGAAAGTGGTTGCAATGTCGTGACCAGGGGCTTGCTTGTTTGAATGTATGGAGGCGTCGCGTGTTTTTCCGTTAAAGGATTCGAATTTCTCGGTGGCCACCAGCGCAGGCGGACCAAACCTTCGGATAGAGTATTTGAGATGTATCAGCATATGAAACTTGGGCTTGTTAACCCACTGAGCCGTGATTTTGATCAGTTGATGCAGGAACACGTCCACAGCGGTATCCAGCTCCTTCAGATAGGTGTCCACGTCGGAGATCTCAGTTTGAAAGACGTAGGAGCCCAAGGCGCACAGTGCCGTCCACAGATGTCGCACCTCTTCGGTCACATGCTCGTAGATGACAAACGGGACTGTTTGTAGGACATTCCGGAACTCCTTACCTACCAGGCTTTGAAAGAACTGGATTAAGGTTGTCGGCTGGATGGGAGGTATATTGAGCCCTTTCGATTTGAAAGAGCGCCAGCGCGCCGACATCTTCGCGTGCTTTTGGGCCCCAGCTTTGCCAGGTTTGATGCTCTTAATCGTGTCGCGGTACGGATACTTCACCACGCCCAGGAGAACCACGTAAAGGATCTCAACCGGCGTGTCAAGATGCCCGTTGAAACCTGGGGGGAAGGGACCACATCAGCAGTAGTTTCAAACGTGAAAACGTTCAAAAACTTACCAGCCAGCCTCAGCATTGGGTTGAAGAGTCTATCACCCCATTCGTGTTCGAGGTTGGCGCAAAGGACGTCTACCTGAGGCGCGGTTAGATTGTCTTGAGCTGTCTGAACTAGAGTTATAAAGTAATCATTCAGCGTATCTCGCAGTCCATATTGGCGTGCCAAGTTGTCCACCGCTTTCTTGCTGTTACACCTTTGAGCTGTTCGCCAAATTTCGCGAGTACGTGCACGGGTGACATTCCAATCCCGAAGGGCTAATCCGGCCTGTCAAACTAGGATGGTCAACTTTCACGTTTTTGAACGTGAAATAACGTGAATATGGAAGCTCACTCACCTTTTCGCCATGTTGGTCCAGACCCAAAAAATCCCGCACAAATCCTTTGGATTGTTTTTCCACCTGACAATCCACTTTGAGGTCACAGAGGCGGCACGGAGTTAGCGTGTTTGCCGGGTTGGTGGTGTTGCATATCTCCGCATGCATCGGAGAGTCTCCAAGGTGGCAAAGGACGACAGCCATTGCGCAGACGTCTTCGCCAAGAGAGTGATCGAATGCTGTAAAACCTTGGAGGCCCAAATCACTTTTGGGGAGAGTCAATAATGATCTACTCCGGGTGAGTAGAGCAGGCCAGATCCCTTACTTGATATTGTCTACGACCTGGTCGAACAATTCAAGGGCCGAAGCACAATTGGTCGTGGCCAGGAAATGAGTGTTATACTCTTGGTTTGACCAATTGGGTGGCAAACCAGAGAGGGTGAAATAGATACTCATGTGCTTGTTGTATTTTTTCGACACGTTTCCTGAAGTATCGTCGGAGTATAAAGTGAGGGGTACATGTCGTATTATTTTGCCATTTGCTTTGATCCTCCAAGGATTGACCATCGGCACCGTTTCGATTCCCCCGGGCGTATGCTCTAGAAAAGCAAGATTTTAGCAAGTGTCGAAGTTGGCCAGTCTGACTGTGATCACTCACGATACATATGATTGCCACATTGTTCCCCCAGGTGTTCAGTGTTGTCCAATCTGACTTCTTCTAATAATCTCCAGAAAGTGTTGACGTTGATACTTAAAAGGTCAGATAAATTGAAAGCTGGTTCATCTTCAATGAAGATGTTGAACCCTGACCGAAACTGTTGAGCTGGTTCGACAACAGCCCGGAGACACTTCGCCATGATGTCTTCTCCCTGCTTATAAAAGAAAATCGGCACGACCAATTGACCTGACACCACCTGGACCGGCTCGTATATGTAATAGTGGATGCTTTTAGAAACCACCATTTGCACCCTAAGTTCTGGTGGGTAGAGCTCTCGCCATTTTTGGGACTGGGATAGACGGTTGATGGGCGTGTTAAGAGGAAGTTCCGGGAGGAAGACGAGATTTTGGCTGACGATAGGATTAGCTAGCTCCTAGAATGGCAATCACATTTGATATTAGTCCTGGTGTGTAATGGAAGAACCATCGACGTCTTAATGAAAGAACAATCAACGTCTTACGCTTTGTATGATAGTCTTCACCTTCAGACCGAACAGAGGGTGACCTGCAGGGCTTTCTCTTGCGGTGATTTCGAGTCCCATTTTCTTCTTTAGTCGGTTGCTTAACCCACGCAAGGATCCCCAGGCAGGCAAGTTCACATCACATATTTGTAATATTGACCGGATTCGCTGGTATTGGAGGCGGGATAGAAGGCTTCGCGTTGAACCAATGATTAGCAAGGCAATTATTTGCTGTGTAATGATAGGAAGAAACAGGTGTCAAGACCAAGCTGATGTGATTGCGAAAGGGAAAGTTGGCTCACCTCTTTGGACTTGAAAGGGTACCACCCATTTGTATCAGGCCCGTCATTATCGTCGAAGGCGTCGTCTAGGTCCATTTCGTTGGGTAACATGTCCTCATCGTCATCTTCAGGGCTTACCCCAACGTGCTCCATGGCTTCCAACGCTTGGCGGAGCTGAAGGACATCCAGAGCGTGGTCAGAGTCTCCAGTGCTGGAAGCATCATCGTCCAATCGGCCGTTGGGGTCCAGGTTCCGTAAATAAGAGAGCGGAGTGAGGGGTGATTCAGGTGATTCAGCCGGGGGGGTGTCAGATCGATGTTGTGTGTATTGAGCCAAGTCCAGCAAGTCCAGGGTGGTAGTTTCTCTCGGGGTATCCTCTTGTGTTGCTCGGATGGCCTGGAGCATCACTTCATCGGCCGCCTCACGGTCAAGCAAACATTGAACAGATTGTTGATGTGCAGGCGTGCGAAGGTGACTTCGGTAATCGCTGAGGGTCCGGCTATTGCATGCTGAACATCGAAGTTGTGGGTTTGCTGGGTCATCGGAATGCGAAATTATATCTTGGTATAACGGTGGTTAGGAAAATCAAATACATTGTTGAGTGAGTTGTGCAAAATAACTCACATTCTGGTATCGACAGTTGGCTCGGGGGTTTGGCCATCGAGACGTGTGGGTGTGTACTGATTGGCTTGGACTTGATGGAGTGGTATGATAACGTTGAGTTGCGGTGATGTGTTGAAAACGTGTGATGCGTTGAAAGGCGTCCAAGTAAGTGCTTGGGCGGTCTAAACCTGGATGGCGTCCGTCTCCTGGTTGTTCGTGATTGCCGTCAGGCGGCCTGAGTTTGGGCAATCTGGAGGCGGTGTATGGCGAGAAGGAGACCACTGTGGGCGGCCAACATATGACCTATGGGGTGTTGGTATTAGGGCCGCCTAAAATTGACATGGATCGTCGGGGTCCCGCCTACTTATGGCCCGAGGGCGGAACCTTGGCCTTTTTAAGACCCCGAAGGTCTTGGGGCGTTTTTCTGGCACCAAACCTACCCGTGGTGTAGACTCACAATTCATTATCAACCTGTAGACAAGTGGGTTCATGATGTGCGAGTTCAATATCGGGAGATTACTCTGAGCGAGATGGATTTACCGAGGATGCCGCTGATGATGATTTGAAGTTTGGTGAGGCGGCAGGCCATCATCGAAGAATGCAAGAAATTGATTTTCACCATCATCTTCACATACAATACTAGTTTGATTTTACCAATTGATAAAGATTCACCAAGGCCTGTCCCGTTTCTTACATTCAAAACAATCACTGGATGCTTCTGACAGGACCCCTGATAGCACCACCAAAGCCCCGTTGTCTTGCTGGATCCAAAATGCAATTTTTAGCAAATATGTTTGTTGTGAAACCTGGAGCCAAAAAGCCAAATTTTTGGATTTTTTTTCAACATCATTCATTGTGCCCTTGGAGCCAAAACCACCTGTTTTTAATTCTAATTATGTGTATTGTTTCTATTGTCATGGAGCAATTCCATGTAGTCATACTGGCCACAGTCTCAGACCAGCCAAGAACTGAAGAATCACCTAGACACACTATTTTCAAGCAATTTTACTCTCCACAAAGTCACAAGAATATGTCCACCAGCCAAAGCAAACCCTTTGACACAGATACAATACTCTCCAACTGTCCTTGCAACCTGTGTGGTATCTGTAAGATAACAAAGAAAGGAAGGTCATTTTATTCAATTTGCCATTGTGGTCTTAAGAATAATGGAAGTAAACGTCAAGGTACATGTAGTTGGAATGCAGAGGTACACTGGTGGGAATCCAGTGTGTATAATCCAGCAAATTTCACTTAAATTACAAAAAAGAGTCTGAATCCACAACAGTCAATCTGATCAGCTCTTGGTACATATGTCATATAGAGCCATGCAGGGAAACGACCAGACTTATGAGTTCACTCATACCAATCAGCTCAATTTGTGTCAAGCAACAAGCAACTTTTGAACCTTCTGCTCAACATCAACCCGCCAAGAAATAAAAATGAGAACAGGATTTTTTAATGTCTGAAGGCTGTGTAGTAGTACTTGCTAAATTATTGTTTCTAAAAATGTTCTTTTTTCAACCTTTTTCTCCCATTTTTTTGTTTCATTCAAGGCCTTTGAAATACCCAAATCCAAATTTCAAATGTTTGTTGTCTCCCTGGAGCCAAATTAGGCAACATTTGGTGCATTTTTCTAAAACCCATCACAGTGAGAATTGTGTGAAAGTGTTTACACCAACAATAAGCTCTTTACATTGTTCCACATAAAGCCTTTATATCTTCCAAAACTTTGTTCATTTTTTGTTCTTTGCACATGTATGCAGTTGGTATTGCAAAGTCAACTTTTGGGTCAATTGTGCTATGTAAATAAGCTGAAGTAATATCACATGAATGCACAAGCAATCTTTGATATGCTGCTATTGTTAAAATAATCCTTTAACCAGAAAATGTTGCAGCTGTTGCAAATGTTTCAGTGTAAAACATACCTTTGCTTTGACTAAACCCTTTTCCTACAAGTCTTGATCTAAAATTTGTTTAGTTCGGGTCATCATCTGCTTTTTTATACACACATACACATTTAAGACCAAGTGTTACTAATCCATCTGGCTTATGTACAACTTTCCAGACCTTCATCCTCTCCGTCATTTCCATTTCTTTATCAAACACTCATTTCCATAGATGAGATTTAGTTGATTTGAGTGATTCATCATATGATTTAGGTGGTGATAATATTTGTAAATCTTCATTTCCACTGAATGCATGAGTACCTGCTAAATTTTGCATGTCTGATTTGAGTTCTTCAGTAAAATCACCTACTGTCAGTGCATTGATTATATGTTTTATGTTACCTTTATTTTTTGATTTGAGTTAAGGATTTCTTTCCGTGATGATGAGGATATTGTTGTGGTATTTGAGTTTGTTGATAATGTGTTTTCTTCATTTATGAATTTAGCAATATCAGATGGGTAAATCATCTTTGTTACATGTTCATAAAAAAGTGATCCTTTACCACCATCTATATAGATAATTATCATACATTTTTGGCCACAGTTTTCAAGTTTTCTATGATCTCACTTATTTGTCTTCTTTCATCATTTGTTCTGATATTTTGTTTCTCATACCAAAAGGTACTTCACTTTAATCACACTTGTGATGGTCTCACAGCCTTACTGAGGATTCCTTTGAGTTTCTTCAAGGCTTGTTTTATTGTGTGGTTGTGTTCTAAACAGTAATTCATTCTTATATTTTGTGTCTTGTACCAATAGGTTTCACTTTCATCACACAAGTAATTTTTTCTGAGCCTTACTGAGAACCCCTTTGTGTTTCTTCAAGCTCAAAGTCTTATGAAGGAAAGACCATAAGCACAATGATGTTTGAAGAGTCTTCTAATGCATTTCATTGACATATGTCCTAAGCAGGCATGCCAAAGTGGAGACAAAAATAGATTTGAGTGAGTTGAACATAGTTAATTCAAAGAACTGTTACAAGATTTTTAATTCAGCACCTTTTGTGATGAGCGTGTAAGGTTGATGAAAATCTTGACCTTCAATGGAAGTACTACAAGTGCCTGCAGAAAAGATACATCACTCCCTGGGCCAAACTGGCTCACACAGTGTTGTAGCTTTTCTGCAGGCACTTGTCACCATGCCTGTCCCCCATGAGCACGTCGATGTGCTCACACGGAGAGTTGTGTAATAAATTTGAACGGATCTTTATTCAATTTGTCTCTAGAAAATGCAAATCCTTTGTTAATAATAATAGACAATCAAAAATTTACTGTTTGTCAATGGAACTATGAACAAAGGAGCCCATTTAACACTCTTGCTGTCTGAACCTTTTGACAAAGGCAATTGTATGCTTAGGCCTCAGACCTGTTTGTAGGTTATATCCACCCTCTACGGAAATTGATTGGTGTGAGCACGTCGACATGCTACCTCAAAACAGACATGGTGTGTAGTTCTCATAAAGGACGTCGCCACACAGAACTAACACTTGGTTCTCTGTTCCTAAACCTTAACCACAAGAACACTCAATGAAAAGAATCTACTACATTGAACCCTGTACTGACCAGTCCTCTGATACCTGGTAGCCTGCTAAATCCGGTACCAGAGCTGTCTACCAGCTTGGTTCCCAGCCAAATATCTGGTAGCTAGTCTTATATGCTATCTGGTTGCTGAATTTCAATATACTGTATAAAATAGAGCAAAGATGGTGTATTTTACCACAGTTGCACCCTATATTGAAAACATTGGGGCAAAAAACCCTGTTCAAGGTTGTTCAAAACATCAACTTGTGCTTTTTGATCCTTCTCTCTTGCCAAATCTTTCCAAACACTGCTTGAATTGGCTGGATAGTACTTGTAATCAAATGTGTTCATGTACACACAAATTATGTTGATGATGGTGTTGGGTTGTGGGAAAATTTCCAGCTTGATTTCATCCTTATCAATCCCAAAGATTTCAAGTACCCTACTACCTTGATTGATTCTAGCTTGAAAAGTCTCAATTCAAGGTATTTTTTCTCTTACCATAGCTAGAGATTCATTTGAAAAAGCTGAGAGAAATCTTCAAGAGTTTTTTGCACAAAGTCTCAAATCTGGTAGCCTGCTAAACCCGGTACCAAGTCTTTCCACAGAGTGTATTGGATTGTACAGGGCTTACTGTACTAGAGATAGAAAAGGAAGTCATACCTGAACCACAAGAAAAATTAATGAAATAATCTAATAATAAAGATAGAAGGAGGAGAAAGGGAATCCTCAAGAGAAAAGAGAAACAAGGAAGGGAGGAGGAAAGACTCCTATAACCCTGTCCCACTACAATGCTGTAGACCCATAGCCAATCCCATACTCCTTCCTCACAGAGTGCTCTAGGGGATATGATAGTAGCTGTTGCCTTTGGGCCATATTACACATTCTCAACCATTGCCTTTTCACCATTCATGGATTTTACCGGTAGTTGGCCTTTTCTAATTATGGCAGCATTTGAGTTGTTAGCCACTGTTTCGATGGAAATTGGGGTGGGAAGAGATTGATAATTTAATACAAGAGGATGTTGGTTGTTTACAGCATCCATTTCTCCCCATCAAATAAATACTCTGTAGGTATTTCACTATCATCTCCTTGACTACCAAAACCCTCAGAACTCCAGTCTAAAGCTGATACTCTGACTTGAGACATTTTAGATTTGGATTTGTCATTGATGTTAATTATGATGTTTGGTTGATGAGGACATTCATTGATAGAAGAGTTAGGTTTGTGATATTTGTAAGGATACATCACCTCTAATTGTCTGCAGCTCCAAACACTAAGACCTTGATTGTCAGTCAAAATGTTAATTCCATCCACCAATAGCTCAATTGTAACTCAAGATGTTTTTTCCATCCACCAATACCCTAATTGTAACTCAAAATGTTTTTTTCTCTACCAATATCATAATTACAACTCAACATGGTTATTCTGTCCACCGAAATTTTAATTGTAACTCAAAAAATGGTCTTGTGTGAAAATGTGTTATAAATGGTTATAAAAGAACAATCTTGGGTTGTAGGCACTGCATCATGACCACAAGTGCACATAGGTGCCTGTGTGCTCAAACACATAAATTTGAGATTGTAGGGACTCAAAATATGACACCTACATCCTGTTTTTGAATATGTAGGTGCCAAAACACAGTGTCTACAAGTTTGTATTAATGGCCTCATGTAGCAAGATCCTAAACCTAAACAAAATATCAAAATCTTGCTTGCAAACTTAGAATCTCTTCAGGCCATGCTGAAAACCTCAACCTACATACAAAATCATTATTTCTCCTTATACAATTCTGACGAGGGAAAAAAGACCTAAACCGGATCTATAAAAAATCTAAAAAAAATACAGACTTAATTTTCATGATTGAAGTCTAGCAGCAGGTGTAGGAGTAGAAAAATTATTTGGTCTATGATGCATCATAGCCAATTCAAGTGTAATTCGATTAATTGTCTCTCTTTTCAAAAATTGCTCTCGTCCTAATGCTCTTACTCTCTACGATAAAAACAAAAGAACAAATATATACATGTGTATCAGTTTTCCTTATCGAAAATTAAAAGGTATTGATGACAAGGGAAAAGGTACCTTTAAGAATTTCTCCAAATCAATCTTAGCTACATCTGAATTATTCAAAGCTCTTGATAAATGATAAATTGTATCATCAATAGCTTGATCTTCAGCAACCAGCTCTAACAATCTGTTTGACACCCCAATTTGAATTACATAGATATATATATATATAAATTGGATCAGTCTTTAACTTTTAGGGAGCGACCAACAAATTACATAAACTTAACTGATTATAAAGTACTGTATTTGAGCAAACAAGTTCATCAACTGGTACCGGTTTCCTTTCTCTCAATTCTTGTATCCTTTGCTTCAATTCTGATACAAGGCTTTCATATCGATACCCTACTCCTACACAAACTTCCTTAACGGCTTCTAGTCTAGCCAATTCATCAATGATCGCAGGTTCACCTTTCAGTAAATCATGTTGCAGTACCATTAATTGACCATGTTCAAATGTGAGTGATGAATTTAAGTTTGAGAGTTCGTTTTGAAGCTTTGCATGAACTGCTTTTCTTAGGGCTAGTAATGCTGGATTTGGAGGTCTTGGTGGTGGATGAGATGTAGGTTTAGACGAGCTTTGTATTGAATTGTGTTCTGTACCTTGGTCAATGTCATCTAAGAGATTAGGTGGTGGAGTTTGAGAGTTCAATGTGATCTGACTGACACGTTGTTCAAGTGCAGGTGAAGCGACAAACGAGTTAGGTCGAGAGGGACTAGAGGCTTCGTCATCAGATCTTGAATTGCGGGTACCGATATGGGTAAGACTGCGCGGCATGAGGTTATGGGGAGGATGAGCCGAATGGAGAGAAGTAGAGCGTTGAATATGCGAAAGTTGTAGGGAGTGAGGCAGTGGATGTGGAAATTGTTGAGCATTGCTTGGAGTACAAGAAGTGGTACGAGTGTAAAGTGGAGGAGGCCGCGGGAGGGGTCTGTTAGCAGGATCAGTCTGAGGCATCTCAGGGAAAGACATAGTAGAGGGTTGAGTAGGTCGGAGTGGCAGGGGAATAGGTGGTGGTGGTGGTGGCGGTGGTCGAGCTGAAGAAGTGGAAGGAGACGGCACAAGTGAAGATGCGTTTGAAATTGGTGATTGTGATGGCTTTGGCTTTGCATACAGAGGAGGTTCGCGAGAGAACAGATCTTGCAAATGAATCAATAATGGGGATAGAGAGCAAGCCTATCAAAAGAGTCATAGCAAATTAGCCAATATGTTGAAGTAGAGATACATGGTCAGAAAGAAAAGCAAAATGGGCAGAACCTCCGGTTTCGAAGTCCATGATTGAAGATAAGTGGCGTGACATTGACCTGAAGGTTCGATATGAGCACTCTTTCTAATAACCATTTCACTGGTTGGTGTCACATAAACGATCGGAGGCTGTAGTGGGAAATCATGAGGAATCCAAATCGCAATAGGGATGTTATAACGAGCAGCTCGATAAGTCACTGGAATAGTGCCCGACAAACAAAGTAAGAGTGCAGCTCGTCCATCATCGAAGGCTAGGTGAGATTACATGGTAGTCAGTCTGAAGGAAACATGATTGAAAATAAAACGATCTGACGTCACAAACTCAACTATATGATTCAGTCTTGGGAGAGAGTGATGGATAAGCTTGAAGGGCAGATTCGACTTGAGTAAAGACTTGATCTCGATGAGCATACTGAAGATGTATCATTCCAAAGCATTCGATCATCCATCTCAAGATGCTAATCAAGAATGTCAAAAAAGTGAGAATGATAATGAAATAAGACTGACAGGTGTTAAGATCTGCCTGAGCCAATTTGTTACTAGATGAGATGGCATGAATGATTTAAACTTGCTATTGAGAATATCTTGAGTGTCTTGAGAGTTGAGATGGTCTTGATGATGATATTTTGTTGAGCATTGAAATAGTCAAATGGTTCATCAGATTCACTTGATCGAGTAAATCCAATCACATCACAGCAATGTTATACAGGGCTCCCACCCGTGTCTCTGGGACTTTCGGTGCCGGCCCAGAGAGGGATCTCCCGGGCCTTGACTTAGCCTGAGCCTCGAAGACTCGAGAGCCCCGATAGGTCCGGGGTTTGGGAAGAAGTTTTGGAACACCTGTGACCTGATGGTTGGGGACCCCGCAAGTTGGGGGTTGGTATCTGAAAAAAATGACATCCCGCCCGGAATCCGGCGGGTACAATATACTGGTGTATAAGAGCATCTCCAATTGCTGGCGTTGAATTTGGGGCTAGTCAAGCTAAAATTACAGATCTTCAGCCAGGTTTAAGCTACAGCCGTTCTCATAAAGGATGCTTTGATGCTGAAAGCAGTGGGTTGTAGCCAAAAGCAAAGCACACATTTTTTCTTTTGGCCCAGGAAGGGTTAGAATGGTAAAAAAAAGTTCTATAAGACAAGGAGAGATTGGGGGGAAGCCCCAACAGATCTCATGCCATTTTTTTGACTTGTGTGAGTCCCTTGTTTGAGCTAGCCAGTACAGGTCAAAACAAGTGGGACTTTGTTAAGCTTGATCTTTGCGGTGATTGAAAACAAAGGTGGCGATACAGTAGAAAGTAGTGTAGAGCTTGACTGAGGGAGAGGGAACTGAATTACAGGCACAGTGCCTGTGAAGGGCGCCCCCAACGTTGGAGGCCTTCAAGAGTACAAAGACAAGCCTTTGCTTGCCTTTGTACTTGCTGGAGCCCCCAACGTTGGGCCCTCTCCAGGGGCACTGAGGTGTAACCCTCACTCAACGGCTGAAAAATAAAATTCAAAAAAGCAACCTTTGTGAGAACGGCTGTAACTAACCCCAAATCCCACAAGTGTTGTCTCTAAAAGTTGCTACAGGTTGAGGTCAGCCTTGGTAGATACTAATTCAAAGACTAGGCGCACAATTGTTGGCTTTGGTATAGAGCTAAGGGCCCATTTGGTAGAGATTTCAATATACAATTACCCAACAATGTTATGTTGATCTGCCCCTATATCAAGGGGCAGATCGAAACCCCGTTTTTTGGTTATGTAATTTTACCAAACACTAGACCAAAAAGGTCCAATTGTTGTTATTTTTTGATGACCAGTCAAGTGTTTGGTAGCACTCATTTTAAATGAGTATATTGATCCAAATTTGAAAATCATTCAATGGTTTTTGAGAACAATCAAAACATTTTGAAACCTCCATCTATCCATCCGTTGTGGTCATCTACCACTTGTTTTGATCAAAGTTTCAAAATCCATTGAGATTTTCTAAAAACCACTCATTGTGGTCATCAACTGTTCAGTTTGAATTAACTTTTGAATTCAATCAACTAAAAACCACTCATTGTCAACCACCTAAAGGGTCCTTTTCACATCATGTAAATTGATAGGTCATGGAGCGCTATTTTTGAACGCACACTCTTAGAGCTGAAAGCTGTGTTAAACATAGAAAATTCCTCAAACTCAAATTTTTAAAAGAACTCCTTGTAGTACAACAAACACAATTTTGAGTTTTTTCTTGGTTTAGCACTGGTGTACAGGCCTGTATGTCACAGATGTTGCCTAAACTCACCAAATTCTACCACTCACACCCTTGCTCAGTGGTCAGATGTGGATTGATGAGCCCATTCATCATCCCAAAGAATCAGTGTTTCATGATAATCTTGGAATGTTTAAACATGTCTTTTTTGAACTACGCTCTGTTGTTGAAGACTCTGGAAATATGAGTGACTCCTGTTGTGTTACCAGTACGGAAAAGTTGGCACTCTTGCTCTATAATGTCATCACTGGCCTGTCAAACTGTAAACTTCAGAACTGTTTTCAAAGATCAACTGATGCTATTTCAAAGTGATTTTTTTGCATTTTCTCATGAATATTTCTGACAGGTCTTCTTTTGACTCACACCATCACTCAGCTTGTTAATGGATCATTTGATGATGGAAGGTTACTTGGCAAATTTATCCCTTTTGCCAACACCAACACACCACTCTTGGATGCCTTTTCTGAGAATCTGAAGTTCCTTTCAAAGACTGCAATGGTGCAACTGATGGTACACAAATTTGGGTCACTCTGCCAGCTTCCAAGTTCATTCCGTTCCCTAAGCATAAAGGATATACATCTCAAAATGACCTTGCCACATGTAATTTCAACAAGGAGTTTATTTATTGCTTGATTGGAGTTGAAGGAAGTATGGCCAAAGGTGCTCTTTGGACTTGGGATAGTTGTGATCTTAAAATTCCTGCTGGAAAGTATTATCTTGCAGACACCGGCTTTGCTTTCACCAAGCATTGTATTGTTCCTTTTTGAAAAGTGGGTTATCATTTACAAGAGTGGGAACAAAAAGGTTTCAGGTGAGGTTTCTTTTTTCTTTCATCATTTTCATCAATCTCATATTGTTTCTTTTTGTATCCCTCTCAACCATGTATTTTAGTCAATCATAGACCCACCAATAAAGAAGAGTTGTTCAACCTTTGACACACTAGTGCATGCAACATTGCCAAGCACATCACCAAGCACATCACCAAGCACATCTTTGGAGCTTGCAAGAAGCGCTTTGAAATCATGGCACATGGGTGTGCATACACAATCAAGGTTCAAATTGCAATGGTTACCGTTATGTGCTTTATCCACAACTTCATTCAAGTTGAAGACCCAAAATCTTCAGCTGAAGGATACCCAGAATTTGGTAAAGGATTCATGCTAGATCCTCAAGATGCAACAGAACCTGCTTGTGAGGTTTGGGTACTCTCTTGAGTACTCAAGGATCACTAATTGGGCAAGGTGGGTCTTGTAATTCAAGTAATTATATTTATATTTTAAATATAAAGTATTACAAAGAATTATAAATAGCTAAAAGGAATGAGGAAGGGAAGGTACTGCTCTGAAAGGATAAATCCTGACAGACTACAGTTAGGTGACTCCTCAAAAGGAGGTTTCAATTATAATAATATAAATGAGGGTGGAACCTAGTCCTTCCTTTAATCTTTAAAGTAACAGAGTAAACAGTGGTTTGAAGTTCACTAAACTAGTTGTTTGATGGTCACTAACCCTGGGTTGTTTTTATGGTCACCAACCTTGGGTTGTTCTATGGTCACCAACCTTGGGTTGTTCTATGGTCACCAACCTATTTGTTTCTACTTGGGGAAGTAGAGGATCCACAGATGGATGAAGAATATATTACTTACTTTTAGTCAGAAAACTTCTCAAAGTAATGAAGTAAATCACTAGTCTTAGAGTTATAAGACTCTTGATTATGTACTTCAATATTACTCCAAAGTGGTTCTTTAAAATTAGTGTGTAACAAAAGCTTGGGGAGAAATCTCTCAAGGCTTAGAGAAAAGGGATTTATATACTCACTTCTCCAAACCTAACTGTAGTGATATTTGTTTCTATCACTACAATGGTTCAGAATTCATTATTAACTATTGATTACCATTGTTGTTTGTACTTGATTACATATATTAAGTATAATGTGGTGTGGAGCCAGAGTGTAAGATACAACCAAGATTTTTTGTTGAAAGGCACAGAATGACTTGTTTTGGAGGAAACACAAAGGAACATGGCCCAAAATCAGAGCCTTGAGGAGATCTTCATAAGTATCCATGGTGCTCTTTTGGGTACAAGGCACAAAGCACCTGAATGTGCTTTGTGTGAATCATGAGTTAGCTTAGGGTGTTTGGTGGAAAGCTCTGATGATCCACTGGATTCTGATGGATTGACATTGGTGATGGTATTATTTGCTGATTTGGGATCACGTTTCATATTGATTTCTTTATAGGCTGAACAATCCAATATTGAGATTGATTTACAGTCTTGCATCATGTGGCAATGTAATAATCCTTATACTGGATTATGCTTGTAGTGTGATGAGCAGGGATTTTCACCCTCACCGTTGTATCTCTATTAGACTCACACTGCAATCTAGTTACCTACTGGTTAGCACCTTCCTGGCTCTTTCCTTAGTCCCTGCTGCGTACTGGTTCATAACATATTGCAGTGTCTCATCATCTGCAGCGGACGACTACTACAAGAACTAGAATTGAAAGGCCGAAACCCACCGACGAACCTTAAAGGAAATATAATTTAAATCAAACCTTATTTGAAGAAATCACACGAAGATCAAGAAGATTGACAGGCTATAGTTTAACATATAGAAGAACGCAAAAACGGCGAACTTTATTATTCTTGCAGAGGAACAAGAATCCGACAACTCATCTAATTCAGTCGAAGCTGTATCGGCGCAAGATCTAGATTTAACCTCAGAAGAGTCCGGCACAATGGAAGATTTATCGGCAAACATCGCGAATATACTTCAGCAACTCACCAACTTGAATACTAAGTTGGAAGAAGAGACAGCTCAGCGCAAGGCAACGCAAGAGGAACTAGCCTCACTCCAGCGCCAATTCAGTAGCGCATCTCAATCCCACGCTAACCCTCCGACCCACCCACAAACTACCAATCCCGAAGTAGCTATGAGTAGCGGGGTCAAAGAGCCACTTACGGCTGAAGACCTCAAATCTCTTATTGGCACAGCTCGCGGTCCCAAGGTGGGAACTCCCGACAAATTCAACGGAACTAAAGGCGATCCTGCCAAAGCTTTCGCCAATCAAGTCGGACTGTACTTACTCGCCAACTCTCATGCATTCCCTGATGACAAAACTAAAATCATCTTCACCTTATCGTACTTAACGGGCGAGGCTAACCAATGGGCCGCCCCGTTTTACAAGCGCTTACTACATCCCGACGACGAAGAACCTCTCACTTAAGAAGCCTTTGCCGCCACGTTTGAGGCTACTTATCTCGACTCAGACCGGAAGAACCGAGCCCAACGAGACCTCAGAGCTTTGCAACAGACAGGATCGGTGGCTGAGTACACTACAAGGTTTATGTCGTTAGCTGCAAGAACGGGGTGGGGAGAGATGGAGCACATCAGTCATTATAAGGTAGGTCTGAAGCAGGA